ACCCCTTCCTCCTGCTCTTCTGGCCTGCTACTCTGTGCTATGCCTGTGCTTACCTTGTTCCCGGAGACCCGGTCCCTCTCGGGAGGGTAACAAGGGAGCCGTGGAAAGCTTTACTTTATCCATATCAGTAAGGCTGGTCCTACTTTGATGATGCAGCTCTTTCCTAGTCATATTTTGAAAGCCTTCTGGCCTTAGGGGCTCATTCTCCTGCATTGTATTGGATAATGTTTCTGGACTATTCATAAAGTTGTGCAGTAATGTATCAGACAATGTTTCTCTGCTATTCATAAGGTTCCATGGCCAGTTCTTTGAGAAGTGGATGTCCTCTTCCTTCTTCCAAGTCTGTCAGTCTGTAAGCTGCATTGAAACCTGTGCACCATGTGCAACCCTGCCAGCACTTGAAAGAGTGGTGGCACAGTCTCAAGCCTCACACCAACACTCAAGCCACAATAATACAACAAACTGGCAGACAAGTTTGTCTTGCTTAGCTGTTCGAAACCTCTCTGCCCTCCCTTACCTGGATCCCTGGTGCTACTCTGCTCGGTTGTCCCCCTGGCTTCTCTTTCCCCTGCTTTCCTGGCTTGTGGGGGTTGGGCCTGGGTCCCTCCCCTTACCTGGATCCCTGGCTATTCCTCTGCTCTGTTGTCCCCTCTGGCTTCTCTTTCCCCCATTTTCCTGGATGGTGGGGGTGGGGTCTGGGTCCCTTCCCTTTCCTGGATGCCTGGTTATGCTAAAGTAACACTTAGGTTGATGAAATAATAAAAATACTAAAATGAAATTGAGTCCCAATATTATTGTCAAGGTACTCTTTATGTCCAGATTTTTAGACTATGGCTATAAGAAAAACTTTTTGAAGGTAATTCTGTACTAGCGGAGGATAAAGCACTTATACTCTTGTGGCTCAAATTTTAGAAAAATACCAGCAATAAAAATAACAGTGATGGAAAGTTACTGATGGCTTTTTAAGGGAAACCAGAATTCTATGCACCTCATCAGCAATCATATGCACATTTGAGAATGGAAAAAGAAAAATTAAATCAATTAACCAATGAGTTACAATGACAATCAGTAGGCAACAATCTTGGAGAAGACCACAGTGGTATCTCACAAAATACATTACACAAATTTATACTAAGTATAGTTTTTATGCAATTCTATTCATAAAGTGCGGATAACATTAACTTATGACAAATAAATTCTTGTGGATAATATTTGAATCAATATTTTATTTATAATGCATTTTGAACACTAAAATTTTAGTTCCACTAAAGAGAATTCAGCAATAGTTGATGATTTATACTGTTGAGAGACAGGAATTGAATACAGGGAAAAGGAAAAATATCATGCATTATTTGTTTTTTGTCAACTTGCTTCTAATGGTCTTAAGAAAATTAATGCATTCACACTGTAATTTTCATAAAGAGATATATCATTAGAAAAGATTTCAGTTTTGAAAAAGATTTTTGTAACTATTATTTATATGGATAGGACAAGAGAAGTGGAAACCAAGTAAAAATGTGTTCAATAAATTATTTCTTATTACATTTTCCCATGTATCCCATTTTATTTTACATGAGATCAAGGGATAGTAATGATAATAACTGACAATAAATGGGGAATGGTGTTCCTCTGCTCCTAATGTTTCTTTTCAAGAGGATGGAGCTCCACTGGTGTTGCAAATGATATCTCTGACTGAAGACTGGGAAAAAAACTAACAGAAGGTTCTTGGCCTATTTTCACCCTTTTTTTTCTCACAAACTAGAAAACATGAGTACTTAGCTATTCTTTCACATTATACTCTCACATAGACAACTTCCCTCATCTCACTCCTTTATTGGGAGGCCAACCCTGGTTCAGAATCATCTGGGCCTGCAAGGGAAGTCCACTCAATTTGAAGATTCACTTAGCAGATTAATTCTCACACAAATGAAATGCTCCAGTGTTGCCAAAACCTCACTGCCATTGAGTCATATCTGACTCATAGTGACCCCTCCTTGGGTTTCCAAGCCAGTATCACTATGGAAGTAGATTGCCCAACTTTCCCTCTAAGGAGTGGCTGGTGGGTTTGAACTGCCAGCCTTCTGGTTAGCAGTCAAATGCCTTAGGCACTATACCATCTGAGCTCCCAATGTTGCCATATATGTAACAAAGGTGATAGTTTGGGCCTGATCTGCGATTCCTTAGTTCATTTACTAAATTTTAAAACCCCAATTGGGAAAATGGGCTGCACTCCTAGGAACTCCCATACCAATATTTATTGAGCATTTATTATGTGACAGGCATGTAGTAAATATTTGCAATCACACTTATAAACGACATGTAAAATCGACTTGGCACAGTGCTTTGTACATTAAAAGAAAACAAAACTCACTGCTATCGGGTCAATTCTGACTCACAGCGACCCCTTCTTGGGTTTCTGAGGCAGTATCTCTACAGAAGTAAATTGCCCAGTTTTCCTTCGAAGGAGTGGCTAGTGGGTTTGAACTACCAGCCTTCTGGTTAGCAGTTAAATGCCTTTCACACTAAGCCACAAGAGCTCCTACTACACCACCAGAGCTCCTGCTTTACACATATAAACACAAACACTGCCATCAAGTCAGACCTGACTCATAGCGACCTCTTCTTGGGTTTCCAAGGTGGTAACACTATGGAAGTAGATTGCCCAACCTTCTTTCCAAGGAGTGGCTTTGTGCATAGTATATGCTAAATAAACATTTATTGTATTTATCAATAGGCGGGAACTCTGGTAGCACAGTGCCTAAGGCATTTGACTGCTAACCAGAAGGTTGGCGATTCAAACCCACCAGCCACTCCTTGGAAGGAAGATGGGGCAATCTATTTCCATAGTGATACTGCCTCAGAAACCCAAGGAGGGGTCACTATGAATGGGTCTGATTGGAGGGCACATAATAACAACATAATAATAATAATAGGAACTAATTGATTCAGCAACTGTCCTACCTTTCATGCCCCTTTTTTCATCCAGCCCCACAAGAAGTTCACAATCTAACAGGAACCACCACAATTAATTGAGCTAAGACTTCTTCTTATCTATCTTCAAAATCCCAACAGTGAAAAAAAGATCTTGCTCAGGGTGGACATTTTATAAGCATGTGTTGAATTTATATTTCATAGCAGGAAATATACCAACTTGTCAGTAGATACAAAATTTATCCTAGCACTCAGTTCTAAGGGAAACTACTTCAATGGATCTGTCTATAATGGACACCAAATGACCAAATAGACATTGTTCTCAGCAATGGTATTATAGATGATACCAAGTGAATTTTATGCCTTTTTATTACTTTGCTGTAATCAAAGCGGAAGACATGAACTAAGAATTCAGGAAAGACAGCTCTCTCGGGTGCTACTTCTGGAATGTTGTTTTCTAATTTAATTTCATACAGGAATAGAACTTAGAATATTCATTGGAGTAAATGGTTGAACTTTTTATCCATTTGTTAATTAAAAAATTCTACAACTATTCAGAGAACAAATAAGAAGAGTATAGTATTTGTAAGATAACATAAGAAAGGCAGTCACAATAATGGAATAAGTCCTACCAGAGTGGAAATTTAGGGTATGATAAAGCCACATTATCCCAGAGTTGGGATGTTACTGGGAAGAACTAACAACTAAGCTAAAAAACACAGAATGAATAGGAGCAATCCAGGAGGATGGAGAGGGGTAAATTCCAGGCAGAGGAAACTGAATAGAGGCAGAAGCTCGGAGTTAAGAAGCTCTTGTTATGTTTGAACTTCTGCATGGTAATTCTAGTTGTTGAAGAGTACCAACCTTCTGCATAGAATGGAAACTACTGTCAGGAGTGGAAGCAGGGAAACCAGTTAGAAAGCTGTTGTGTAATCCAAAGAATAGATGGAGGTAGCTTAAACTAAGACAATAACACTGGGGAGTAAGAGGGTTAGAATGAATCTGAGATAAAATAAATAGTTTTAAAACAACAAGGTAGTGGGGATGCCAAGGATGGCTCCCAGTTTTCTGAGTTGAAATATTTGGGCAGAAGGTGGTCCCATCACTATTAGAGAATAGAAAGGAGGTTCTGCATTCAAAACTAGTTGTGTTATTGATGGAAGAAATAGTCATATGCTTTTGACATCAGACAGTATACATACTCAAGAATTGAAATCCTGTTATGATAACCACCGAACCTGAAACATATTCCTGGCTAAACTGAAGTCCATAATATATTGTTTCTACCCAAGAACCATTTAATATCACATTGCTGGAAATAACATAAGATCAGGAAACTAAGATTATATGACAAAAAGAATGGAAGAAGAGGACAAATATTGCCAATTGATCATTTTAACTCCAAGTGGTGTATCTATGCAAAGTAAAGTCCTTCTGAGACAATGACACTGACCTCTGAACATTTTACTACTTTCTCACTCAGAATGTACAAGACCTTCTTCCCCAGCAATATCCAAGGAATGACACTATGTTTAAAGATTAATTCCAAATACCACAAAATGTCAGTTCAGGTATTATCTCAAAACCAATAGACTGGTCTTGTGGTCCAGACACCCTCCTCTAAACTTTTTAATGTATATATAAGGCATGTGATACTAACTTTAATATAAAATGTACAAATATAAATTAAATATTGAGAAATACAATATTAGGTTATAAACTTGCTCAAGTGTCTTTTACAACTTAATATTTATATAGTGCCCATTAGTTAAATACCTGGTATCAAGAGCTAGAAAGTAACTATCAGCAAACTGAGATTACATTTAGAATTAAACTTAGTAATGCTTTATTTAATTCATACTTACCCTTTAATTGCCTCAGTTTGTGTTTCATAATATCTAGATCAGCCAAAATTTTGTTCTTTTTCATCCAGTTCTGCTTCTCTACTTTTTCTGCTTTCTGCAAAGCTAAAATAATAAAAATCCATGATATTTATCTTCTGTACTTTTATCAACAGTAATTTATCATGCAAGCCAATAATTTATAAAGAACTTTCTGCTCTAAGAAATAGATTCAATTATAAACAAGTAATTAAAAGGTAAGGGTCATTAAGGGAACCTTGTTTGAAAGATGACAGGGCTTGAGGCATTTCTTTCTGAATAGAGCAGGAAAAAGAAGAAGAACAGTGCTATTTTATTATATAGATTTACCATATGCAATACTCATATTTCATTTTCCACTTCCATAAACTATTTGGAGGTGATGAAAGCCTGGTTTGGAACCATTCATTTTTTAAACATCCACCTATTGCCTAAAGGGTGCAATTCTTAAAAATGAAAATGTGCAGACAGGTCGTCTTCAGTGTGAATTAAACTCATTTGTTATTTTCTAATGTATACCATTATTCTCAGTCTTATAGACCAAAGATCTCTTCATCAACTAAATTAGACATTTTTCTATGCAGACTACTCCATTCCAGTAAGAAAAAAAACAGGCAATTGTGCAAATATGTGAGATTTAGTTATTCTTGTGCACATACTAATTACCGGGCCTCCTGTTCTTTGAATGAAAGTGATATTACTATGTTGGCATTACATACATTTAATTCATTTTCTTAGGATAACAGAAATTGATTTTTCTCTCCCTTCACATGCTAACTTGAAAGAAAGCAAAAAATAAAAAAATATTTTACCATTCAGAGGTAGAAATGGTTCACCACAAGACACCCAGATGGCAATAGGGTTTCTGAGGACAAGGTCAAGCAAAGACTCATCTATACTATTCAAATTATCAGATGTCACAGACTTTGCAAATACTTTGTTTTTCACTTTTGTTCTCATGTTTTCTGAAAAACAAATGACACATTTACCATTATTCTATGAGTAATAAATAAATTTACTTATTGAACTCATTTATTTATTCAAAATATTTTACTCTTCATTTAATACTTGATTTAAACACGTAATACCCAAACCGAACACTAACACACATATTTAGTCAGGAAGATCTTATACAGCTAAAAATTTAATGCAATCTGACTTTAAATTTCTTTCTTACACTTTGCTTGATTCTGAAAGAAATTTGTTGAGGTAGCTTACTGTCCTGGTTACCTAGTGCTGTTCTGACAAGAATATACCACAAATGAGATGGCTTGAACAGGAGTTTATTCTTGTGTTAGACTGGGTTCTCTAGAGAAACAAAACCAATAAAGCTTATATATATGTATATATAGAGAAATTTATCTCAGGAAAATGGCTCACACACTTATAGAAGCTGGCAAGCCCAAAGTTCCTGGATCAAACATCAAGCTGGAGGCTATTCCACATCAAGCTGGAGGCTGTCCTGACTCTTGCAGCTGTAGAGATTGAGGAGCTCAAGGCTGCCAGGGAGTACACCGGCTGTTGACTCCAACAAATGATGAATCCAAGATCTCCAGGCCGAATGGTGGATTGTTCACTCATGGACTGTTGTAGGCAGCACAACCAAATCCCGATCCACAGAAGAATGTCTCATTTCCCGGAATGTCCATAGATATACTGGAAGCAGGCCACACCCCTAGGGAAATGCCCTTTCAACAGATTGCCTGCTCAAAACATAATCATCTGATCCCATCATGGGAATAACCACATCACAACAGCTTAAAGCACAAAGAATTGTGGTCCAGCCAAGTTGATACACAGCTCCAACTATCACAATTCTCTTACAATTTGGAGGCTTTAAGTCCAAGTTCAAAGTGCCAGGCTCTAGGGGCTGGGTGAAAACCCCTCAAACTTGGATTGCACCTCAATATAAAGAAAACACAAATCCTCACAACTAGACCAATAAGTAACATCATGATTAACAGTGAAAAGATTGAAGTTGTCAAGGATTTCATTTTCCATGGATCCACAATAAACACCCATGAAAGCAGAGGTAAAAAAATCAAATGATATTGCCTTGGCAAATCTGCTGCAAAGGACCTCTTTAAAGTGTTAAAGAGTAAAGATGCCACTCTGAAAACTAAGGTGTACCTGGCCTAAGCCATGGTATTTTCAATGGCCTCATATACATATGAAAGCTGGACAATGAATAAGGAAGACTGAAGAAGAATTGATGTATTTGAATATGGTGTTGGTGAAGAATATTTAATATATTATGGATTGCAGAAGAATGAATAAATCTGTCTTGGAACAAGTACAATCATAATGCTCCTTAGAAGTGTGGGTCATAAGACTTTCTCTCTTATATTCTGGTTATAGTATCAGGAGGGACCAGTGGAGAAGGACATCATGCTTGGTAAAGTAGAGGGTCGGCAAAAAAGAGAGGAAAACCCTAAAGGAAACAGATTGACACAGTGCTTGCAACAATGGGCCCAAACCTAGCACAACTGTGAAGATATCACAGGACTAGTCAGTGTTTGGTTCCATCGTATGTACATAGGGTCCCTGGGAGTCAGAACCAACTTGAAACACCTAAAAACAACAAAGAACAATTTGGTTGCTGAGCCTCCCAGTGACAGCAAAGAGGAAAACACAATTTCAAAATTGACACAGTCCAAATATAAGAACAAGTTTCTCAGAAGATGCATTTCCCCTGGTCCAGAGACCTGCAAGAAGTTCATTTGAATGCCATTATAAAGGAGTTACATGTGATATAGTTAATAGCATCCTGAAATAGAAACTAACACATATTGAGAACTTGGTAGGTACTGGACATTTTACTGAAGTATCATCCATATACATCATCTCATGTAATTCTAAAAGGGACATTCTGAGGTTGGTCCTATTACTATTCCTCTTTAAAGGTAACCGAGGCTAGGTTGTAGCAGAGCTAGGATTAGAATCCAGGCCACCTGCCTCCAGACACTGTGCTTTTAAATGCTGTTTCATGCCTCCACAGTTAGCATGATACTGAGTTTCAAAACGCTACTTTAAAAAAAAAAAAAAAGTTTCTCAACGAAACTGATGATAAAATGCCAAACCCTCTAATGTCCCTGTCTGATCAAGGATAACCTTTAGAATACAGAGGAACCAGGGTAGCTCTACCCTTTTAGCAATCCTGCATGAATAACATTACTTTCAACCAGGTTTTAAATAAGAATTTGAAAGCAGAGAGTTTGAGATTGTAATCTCCCAGAAACTGGAAGTCAGATATTTTATGATAACTATATACTTTAGTGATTAGCTAAGCATTAAATGTTCAGATGTTTATTTAAAAAAAAATAGAAAACATACAAATAATATCCTATATATGATAATGAATAGGTTGTATTCACTGGGTGTCTGGGAGATGTTAATCAGGCATTGTCTTAAGTCATTACATATATGTGTATATATCATATATATATATATATATATATATACGTTCTTGTTGTTGTTATGTGCCGTTGAGTCGGACCCAACTCATAGCGACCCCTTCTTGAGTTTTTCCGAGGAGTGGCTGGTTAGCAGTCAAGTGCCTTAGGCACTACGCTACCAGAGCTCATATATATATATATATATATATATATATATATATATATATGCGCACACACACACACATATATATATATATATTCATATCTATTTGTTTGGTTTTCATAACAATTCCATGAAGTAAGAAACTACTGTTGTTACTATCTGTTGTAAGTTGGGACTTAACTCATGGCAACCCCATGCACAATGAAGCAAAACTCTGCCTGGTCTCCAGGATCGGTTAGGGATCAGACCTTTGTGATCCACAGGGTTTTCATTGGCTGGGTTTAGAAGTAAATTGCCAGGCCTTTTTTTCCTAACCTTAGTCCGGAAGCTCTGCTGAAACCTCTTCAGCATTAAGGCTGACAAATAGGTGGCTGCTGAGCATAAGGGAGCTCTGGTGGCATAGTGCCTAAGGCATTTGGCTGCTAACCAGAAGGCTGGGGGTTCAAACCCACCAGCCATTCCTCGGAAGGAAGATGCGGCAGTCTACCTCTGTAGTGATACAGCCTCAGAAACTCAAGGAGGGGTCACTATGAGTTGGATCTTACTCCCCAGCAGTGAATTTGGGTTTTGTGTGTGTGTGTGTGTGTGTGTGTGTGCATAAGATACATTGGCCAAGAATCGAACCCAGTCTCTCTCATGGGAGGCAAGAATTCTATCACAGAACCACTACTGTCACCTAAGGGACTGTTAGTATCCTCATTTTACAGATGAATAAATTGAGGTATAAAGTTGAGCAACTTGCCCAAAGTCATAAAGATAAAAGGTGAAGAATATAGGATGTGAATCCTGGTTGAGTGCAGTTCCGCTCTGACACACTGGAGTCATCATGAGTCAGAATTGACTCTACAGCAATTGGTTTTATTCTGACTCCAAAGCCCAAGATCTTAACCTCTACACCATACCTTTCAATACAATAATGGTGTGATAGTCTCACACTGAGGTAACACTACTGAATCAAGCAAGGCTCCCTTTCATTCAGAAAACTATTGTTTGGAACACAGCCCTGCTCTCAAGTTGTACATAGCCCAAAGAGACATAAATAGGTAATTATAATATAATAGCATCAGTGCTACAACAGAAGGGCACTCAGTGGTGCTTCTGGGAGTTTATAGAAACAGTGGAAATGTGCAGGAAGGAGATTGGAAGTCAGGAGGTACAGAGAGGACATTTCTCATCTAAAGGTAGGAAAACTGCATTGATCCAGCCCCACTGTCTAAGATGGTTTGGTTCTGACTTTAACAACAAAATATGCTCAGTTTCATTAAGAAGCTAAATTGTTAGAAATATTTTATTAACTCTATGAAATTTACTTATTGTTTCAGCACTGAAGCCAAAATTTACATAAGACTTATGAGAAGACTAATATTTATAAAAAGTCCATGAATTTTTTATTTTTCTTATTATTCTTCAAGGTGAAAATAACAAGGGAATTTCATTGCTCGACAGTCTTGGAATCATTTATCAGAGTAGCTTCGTATGATTTTGAAATCCTAGACAGGGTAAGGGAATGACAGCCAAATTTAACTTTTTATGATTAAGTGTAAATAGAACTTGCTAACTCTTAAAGAATGTAGCAAAGTGCCCATACTTTTAATTGCTGCCTCTTCTGTTCCAACAAAAGCTGCATGTTTCTTTCCATCCGCAGAGTCTTTCTGGATAAAGGATTCATCTAGAGCCCATAATACCAAATCACGCAAAGTGAGAATTGTAGTCCCGTCTTTGGTATATACTTTGGAGGCTGCTCTGGAAAGACCAAGTTGTTCTGTGCAGTCTGTAAGAAGCTAGACAACGCAGACTGTAAGGAACTGAGAGGAAACAAAACTGCAAATAATCAAGAAGAGTTTACCATTTTAGAAGCCTGAAAAAATTCTTTGAGAAAACAGAAAGCTGAGTACCATACTTTCATGCGAGTAATGTACCTATTTTATGGTTTTGAAAGCTTTACAACCCCTCATGCATTAGTTTCCAGTGCACACTATGTGTGCTGCATGTCTGTGCATGTTATTTCTGTGGGTGCAGTATATGTGAAAAATGCAGTAACTTCTGATCTTGATCTTTGCTTAGAGACAATTTTTGACATTAGATAGCCTACCTAATTTCACAACATTATTCCAATATAACGGAAAATTCCTCCTTCCAGAATTTTAACATAGCAGCTAATATATGTTAACACATTTTAACATAGAGTGTTTTCTAAGAGATGTTGAATTTAGAAATCCACTTTCAGTTTTGTACTTTGTAAGGTATAAAATTGCTACAATACTTCACATTTCTGGACTTTTTTTAAAATAAATGAGTAGTTAACTTTCAAGAACTGACACATATTATTTCCATTTTTCAGACTGGAAAACAGGTTGAAAGGTGGATATTTTTGCCCAAGACCACAAAGGCCAACTACAAAGCTGGAAATGAATCTTGGATTCACTAACTTCTGTACTTTGCTTAGTCCATTGAACAGCAATGTATAATAAAACATCTATTTGTATTCAACCAAAGAAGTGAGGGAATAGGTGTTATGGACTGAAATGCATCCCTCAAAAATAAGATTTGTAAATCCTACCCACTAGACCTGTAGTTATAACCTCATCTGGGAATGGGTTTTGTTATGTTAAGGAGGCAGTATTAGTGGGATGTGTTTTAAGTCGATCTGTTTTGAGATATAAAAGAGCTGATTAAGCATGCAGGCAAACAAGCAAGCAATAACGGTCAAGGAACCTTGTCACAGGAGCTGAAGAGACAAGGACCTTCCCTCGGAGCTAACAGAGAGAGACAGCCTTCCCCTAGAACCAGCTCCCTGAATTCAGATTGTTAGCCCCCTAATCTGTAAGAGGGAGCTCTGTTGGTGCAGTGGGCTGGCATTCAGGCGCTAACCAAAAGATCAGTAGTTCAAACCCACTGGCTGCTCCATGGGAGACAGATGAGGCAGTTTGCTTCCCTGAAGATGTAAACCTTGGAAACCCTGTGAGGCAGTTCTGCTCTGTCCTTCAAGGTCACTATGAGTCAGACTTGACTCAATGGCAGTGGGTTTTTTTTTTTTGTTTTGTTTTGTTTTTTAAATTGGTGAATCTGTGAGAAAATAAATTTGTTTGTTAAAGCCACTTACTTATGGAATTTCTGTTATAGCAGCACTACATAACTTAAGGAATTTCTGCTATAGACAGTGGGTATGTGTGTTATATACATTTTCAAAAAAGTCTCCAAGATAACTCTTCATCATATTTAACACTGTTTCTAAAATATGTTGTTAAAAGTATTAGCCAAAATGTATAGGTGAGACAATCACCAAGCACTGGAGGAAAACACTCCCACCGGGGCCTTCCTGGTTCTCCTCCCTTCCTGTGTCTGTGGGGAAAAATCTCCAGGACAGACCAACTAGGCCCTCCCAGCACAACCCGCTGCTCCAATCTGAAAATGAATAAAGCATCCTGTCGACAAACAAGCCCTCTGACTCTGCAGATGATAAATGAAGTGGGATCTCTTAGAATATTCAGATGACTTATAGCATGAAACTGGCATGGGAAAGAAGTCAGAAAAAGGTACTCTATCATGAAAACTAAGCAAAGCTGTTTTCTTTCCCCCTTCCTTTCTATATCTTTGCTCTGGAGCCACTCTAAAACCATATTCCAGTTGCCCATTTTTCTAAGACTATATCCAAAGAAATGCAATAAAAAAAAAAAAAGTTCTTTAAGAAAGCAAAGATCTTGATCTCATCAGCTTCAATTGATGAAACTGTCCAGAGATATTTACCCCTCAACCCTACTGCTTTCTTCTTGTTAGAAGAATAACCATTATCATGACCTCTGAGGATACAAGCAGCAGTTACGTGACAGTCACTTACCATGGGGAATGTTTCAGCCACAATTAACTTCCCATTATGATAGCCATCCCCATTTTTGTATGCAATTATTTTCACTGCCTTCTGGTGTGGAGTTGCCACACCACTATGAGATACAGCCCGTGTGGAGGCCTTCATCTGTAAAGATGATAGGAGTCCTTCATAATAACTTAGAGTTTCCTCAGCTTCGTAAGAGGATAAATTAGCCTGATTTAAAAAAGAAAGAAAGAAAATCATACATTTCATGAACTTTTTTTTTCTTTGTTAGTTTTCTCATTTGGGCGTTCTTTAGTTTTTTCATTTAGTAAATGTAGTGGCATATATGTCACATCTAAGTCTTTAAATGCTCACTTCATATGCTACAGATATTGGATTGGACTCTTCAGTTCCCTCTCCAGTCCTGCCACTGGGTCACTGTGACTTGTAGCCTCTGGCTCATGCGTCAAGCCCTCTCTTGTTGCCTTTTGACTTTTCCCTGGGACAGGAGACAGGGTAGACAGATGTCAGGGTCAAGGAGAACCTGGAGTAAAGTACCAGGACCCCAACATCACAGATGTTCACCTTCCTTTCGGACGACACCACTCTGTGCTGGCAGATATTGAAGAATAGGTAGAGGAAAGAGGGTAGCCTTAACCACATAGTAATAAGTGTGAAAAATCCTGCTTCACCTTTCCCTTCCCATCTCTACTCCAATGCTGCTCTGAGGGAAAGAGCTCTGTCCCAGATGCTGATGCATTTAAACTCCTTTCCATCACACCACTCCCTAAACAACACTCCTCTAGTCCTAAAACAAACCAAATGTCTTCAGGATTCCCCAGGGGACAGAATTCCTTTCTCCTCATAGTTACAGTTTCAGTTGGTGTCCAGTGTACCCTGACACCGCTATCCCAGGTGCACTGCGTTGGAGGAGAGAGGGAGGCAGGCTGGGAATGAGGTAGGTAAGCCCTGAGGAACACACCACCTGCTGACTTATCTTCTCAAAGTTCCCCCCTCTCAGGAACTGCCCCCTTTTATACAGCTGTGCAAGTTTTCCTTAGCTCTTCTCACTTGTAAACTTGAAGGGAAGGAGTTTAAAATGGTGCCAGTTTAAATTAAGATCACAGGAGACTGCAGGGATTTATTCTCCAAGAGGTATAAATAGTATTAGACATGGATGCGTGAATTCAGGCACCCAACCTGAACAGTCATTAGCAACAGCATGTCAAATTCTCCCCGAAATGATCCATGCTAGTAAAAAGGAGTTTACCCTGCTGGAAGAAGCAAAAAAAGCTGCAGTTTGATTCCTCACCTAAAGATCTGCAGTTACTTCCTCACGTAAAAGCAACACAGAAAGCAATGAAAGGTGTCAGTAGGTGATTAAAGCAGCAGAAGTGGCCAATTAACTTCAAAGAGTGTATTGAACTATTAATAGAAAATGTATTTTAAATTACAATGGGAAAAAGGAAATCAATGAAGGTAGAACGGTAAAGGTGCATCTGAAGAAGATGAATTGGATGAGTGGAGATGAATTTGAGAGCAATGCAGATAATGCATCAAAGTTTCCAAGCTGTTACCACACACGCATTAACAGCTCAGATCATTACACACCTTGGCCACAGTGATGACCTTGAAGGGCCCTAGTGAGAAGGGTTTCTGAGTCTCGCAGCCAGAGGCACAGAGGAATGGGACCCCTGGTAGCAACTGCTTCAGTCCCTTCTCTGCTTGCATGGATCGTCCACAAGCCAAACAGAGCATTGTTTTTCTCTTTCCACCAGGTGAGAGGTAATAGTATCCCTAAAATGGGAGAAAAAGAAGCCTTCAAATATATACATCTCAATAATGACAGCAGGTTTGTAGAACACTTTGTTGTTGTTGTTGTTGTTGTCATTTGCCGTCGAGTTGCTCCCGACTCATAGCGACCCCTCCTTGGGTTTCCGAGGCAGTATCACTACGGCAGCTTTACTATATGTTAAAAAAAAAAAAGAAAAAAAGAAAAAACCACTTTTCTAAACTCCAAATGCAAAATTTGAAACATCAAAATGAATCCATTCTCTTGCTCCTTAATTGCAATGTTTACCCTCCTCCTCTCAAAAATATCAAAAACATATTTGTTTGATCTGCCAACTGAAAAAGCCTAGAGGCAATGACATTGCAATATCAGTGAGCATAACTAGCTCTGGAGCCAGGCTTTCTCGGAGGAACAGTCCAGTCCATGTTTGAGGCAGGGCATATGTAATAGAAGCCTGGAACATCTTGCTGTGTGCAGAAAGAAAGGAAGTTATTCATGAGTAAAGAGAGCATGTCAAAAAGACCTAGGAGCCTACATCGAGTAGTACAATGTAGGAACATCAAAAAGAATGATAATCAAAACACATTGGACATGTAAAATGTTATGAGCTCATAAGATACTGAAAGTAACTATTTCAAACACAAAGAAATGAAAACAAAACTGAAACTCTTCAAAGACCATTGGAAGTAAATTGGCACTGATTTCTAACTCTGAAAACTGACCATGAGGAAGTGTGGCAGATATTTGCAAAAATGGCCACAATAAAACATTCCAATCTCTGTTTACATGCCCAATTGAAATGTGACTTTGCTGCTCCCATCAAGAGATGAAGTTTCTTTCTCTTTGTCTTGAATCTGGGCTAGACCCTGTGACTTACTTTGGTCAGTATATTGTGCTGTTGTTGTAATGTGACCTCCCGTCAGATCCGACTCTTAGCGACCCCTCCTTGGGTTTCCGAGGCAGTATCACTACGGAAGTAGATTGCCCCATCTTCCTTCTGAGGAATGGCTGGTGGGTTTGAACCGCTAGCTTTCTGGTTAGCAGTCAAGTGCCTTTAGACACATGTGATACAAGGAGATGCTTAAGAAGTGCTTGAAGGAAAATGGAAAGCAAATGGCTTTCAAGGATCTTTTTTTTTTTTTTTAAGAGAGCAAGTTGCATTAAGGCCAAAGTGCCAACTATCTTCTGTGTGGTAGTATAACCAGCATATTGATGGTCCTGACTTGATTAAATGATGTTCTGAACATGCTATTAAAGGCAAAAAGCACTGCATTTTCAAAAAGATTTTTAACATAAGTATCAAGTAGAAAATTTCTGGTGCTTATGGTATTAAACTTTTCCTGAGCAAATCAGCATGGTGTCCACTGAGACCTCCAACCTAAGGGTCATTGTTTCACTGCCTATCATACTTTTAATGTCACCACCCTCTTAGCTTAGATTCTACAATCTATCATTATAATGTCTCTCTCCCTCCCATTCCCATCAGTCATAAAATCTCCCTTCCTTTTCTCTTTTAATAAAAGTACAAACTGTATAATCACTGGAATATGTTAATCATATACAAAACAATGAAGAAACCCCATCTACCCTTCACCCACCTTCAGTAATTATAAAAAATTACCAATCTCATTTCAACTGTATCCCTGTGTACTTCTCTCTTCTTCCTGGATTATTTTGAAGAAATCTCAGACATCATACCATTTCATTCTTATATATTTCAGTATATAGTTCTAAAGGGTAAGGATTATTTTTTTATCATAGCTACAGTATCATACCTGAAAATTAGTAATGATAACACCTTTATATAATTATTCAGTCAGTATTCAAATTTCCCTAGTACTCTCTCTCTCTGCTGTATTTGAAACAGAATTAAAGTAAGGTTCACACATTATGATTGGCTTATATGTCTCCTGTTTCCTCTAATCTCCATTTCTCCCTGTATCTCCTTCTCTCTTTTCTTTCCTTGCAATTTATTTCTTGTAGCCTTTCTCTCAATTAGGATTTTGCTGACTACCTGCTTACTGTGTCTTGTGACATGTTCTTCTGTCTCCTGTATTTCCAGTGAATTACTATTTAGAATGAGAGACTTGATGCATTCTGCTTAGATCTTTTTATTTTTCATTTGCAAGAACGTTTCAAGTGGTATTGTATGCTTCCATCATTGGACACATACGTACCCTGTTTTCTTTGTTTTTGTTTTTGTTTTTGTAATTCTAGTAACTACTAATGCTCATTGCCCATTGTTGTCAGTTGTCGTAGAGCCGATTCCAACTCATGGAGGCCTCCTGTGTGCAGAGTAACACTGTCCCATAGGTTTTTTCAAGGCTATGAGCTTTCAGAAGCAGATCTCTAGGCCTGTTTCCTGAGGCACCTCCGGTGGGTTCAACAGCCAACATTTCCACTAGTATTCGAGCACGTAACTGTTTTCACCACCCAGAGACTCTGCTCATTGTCTATATCCACTAATTTATTAAAAGTCACAAAATAGTGATACTATGATTATTTTTTATACTGTACTCATTTACTAGCTGAGATATTTCTATGAAACGAAACTTCTCCTCACTAATTGTTTTGTTATCCTGAGGTACAGTTCATAAAGAAAAGGAAAAATAAACACCTGATATTTTGTTTTCCAGTTTTCAAAGTAACTCATTGTTTCCTTAACAACCTCCACTTGTGACTGATGAGTTGTTTTATTATCAGTATGAAAACATTGATTTAAACATACATTATTATTCAATCCACTGCATTCATTTGTCTTGTTGATGCTTCATTTGCTACATCTTCGTATAGTGGAAGTCTTCTGAAGTTGGCTCCTGAGTCCTTGTCAGATGACCTTAGTCATCTTTGATAGCTTCCTTACTAACTGATATGAGTTCACAGACAGAGGAGAAAAGCGCAGAAGGGGAGGGGGAGCACAGTCAAAGGCAGAGAGGCGCAAAATGGTATGGTGTATTTGTTGCCGCTGTTAGGTGCCGTCAGGTGCCGTCAAGTCGGCTCTGACTCATAGCGACACTATGTACAAGGAACAAAACACTGCCTCGTCCTATGCCAGCCTCACAATCCTTGTTATACCTGAGCCCATCACTGCAGCCACTGTGTCAATCCATCCCGTTGAGGGCCTTCCCCTTTTTTGCTGACCCTCCACTTTACCAAGCATGATATCCTTCCCCAGGGAATGGTCTCTTCTGACAACATGACCAAAGTAGGTGAGACGAAGTCTGGCCATTCTCACTTTCCAACTCCACCACTTCTAAGATAGATTTGTTAGTTCTTCTGGCAGTCCATGGTATTTCAGTACTCTTCACTAACACCACAACTCAAAAGCATAGACTTTCCTTCAGTCTTCCTTATTCATTGTCTAGCTTTCACATGCTAGGAGGCTACCAAAAATATCATGCCTTGGGTTAGGCATACTTTAGTCTTCAAAGAGACATCTTCATTCTTCAGCACTTTAAAGAGCTCTTTTGCAGCAGATTTTCCCAATGCAATACATCTGATTTCTTGACTGCTGTTTCCATTGGTGTTGATTGTAGATCCAAGTAACATGAAATCTTTGACAACTTTAATCTTTTCTCCATTTATTGTGATACTGCTTATCAGTCCAATTGTGATAATTTTTGTTTTCTTTATGTTGAGGTGTAATCCATAGTGCAGACTGTAATCTTTAATCTTCAGCAGTCTTTATCTTCATGAGTATGTATTCTTTCACCATACTTATTCAATCTGTATGCTGAGTAAATAATCCAAGAAGCTGGACTATATGAAACAGAATGTGGCATCAGGATTAGAGGAAGACTCATTAACAACCTGTGATATGCAGGAGACACAACCTTGCTTGTTGAAAGTGAAGGTGACTTGAAGCACTTACTGATGAAGACGGTACATTTGGACAACTGCTAATTATTCAGCAGAACTAGGGAATGATAGGTGAAGGAGAAGAGGCAGCAATTTAGACATCTGAAGGGCAAAGCAAGGAGAGTCTTGTAGGTGCTTTATGAAATGTCAATTTTCTGCAGGCCAGTGACCATCAACATGACAAAGTGGTGTAATTCACTGACCCAGAGTCATATCTTAGGTAGCTGTGAAGTCTGAAGCAAATAATTCCTTACTAATAAGAATTAAAAGCCCAGAGTTTAAAAATAATTTCTTTTAGAAATTAAAGTATATTCATGCTTAGCCATATACTTGGTATAATGTAATAAGTTAGTCACTTACAATCCTTTGCATTTTAATAGAATATCTGGAGTGGAATGACGTCTAGTCACTTGTACCTTGTGAGAGGGTAGTATGTGTAAACATACTCCCTCATGTGTGTTCTGGTGAACTGCTGAACCGAAAGTTGTACCAGTAATGGAAAGCTATCTAAACTGTATAAGCAGAGAAGTAGCACCAATTTTCCTTCATTCTTTCCTAACCAGATTCACAGTCTAAGTAATTTCGACTTGTGTTAAGTGTTTAACTTATTTTAACATGAGGCCTTCTGAAAAAAAAGTTTTGTTTTATTAAATTATCCTATTTTACTCCATTTTCCCTTTATCTCTGGCAGGAAGGAACCACTTACTGGTTGGTCAATGTTTTCTTCTCTAATCACAGAGGACGTGCACACACCAGCGTAATTTGCTGCTGTGATTTCTTTATCCAGCTCAGTGCTATAAAAAGCCATCAACACTTTCCCATTTTCCATATAATGCCACTTTTGATTGGAAGTCCCATTGTTATATGGCTTATATTTCTGGAAAAAAAAAAGGGGGGGTGGGTGGGAATATAGACTCAAATAGATGGGAGAGTTTCAGAGATGATTATAGCAGTAATATCTTTCATTATATAAATTTACAAAGTACAGATACTTTCTAAATTTCACTCATAATTCCACTACACAATGATACCTACTCTTAATCTATTGATGATAGAAACAATCACCTTTATATTTATAGATACACAGACTTTCTTTGACTTACAAAAATGGAAGCACAAAATCTTTACAATATGGTAACTGTATTTTTTTTTCCTTAACTATATTCCATGAACCTTTTCCTGACATGGTTTTTCAGGATATATAGTATTTCATCTTGTTGTTGTTGTTAGGTGCAATCAAGTCATTTCTGACTCATAGCAACCCCATACACACAGAACGAAACACTGCCTGATCCCACACCAGCTCCATGATCCCCGCTATACTTAAGCCCATCATCACAGTCACCGTGTCAATCCATCTTGTCGAAGGTCTTCCCCTCTTTCATCGACCCTTCACCTTACTCAGCATGACATCCTTCTCCAGAGAATGGTCCCTTCTTACAACATGACCAAAGTAGGTGAGACAAAGTCTGGCCATTCTCGCTTCCAAGGAGCATCTCAGCTGCACTTCCTCCAGGACAGATCTGTTAGTTCTTTTAGCAGTCCATGGTACTTTCAGCATTCTCCGCCAGCACCACAACTCAAAAGCATCAACTCTTCTTCGGTCTTCCTTATTCATTGTCCAGCTCTTACATGCATACGAGGCAATTGGAAATATCATGGCTTGTGTCAGGCGCACCTTAGTCCTCAAGGAGACATCCTTGCTCCTCAGCACTTGAAACAGTTCCTTCGCGGTTGACCTTTCCAGTGCTACACATCGTCTAATGTCCTGACTGCTGCTTCCATTGGCATCAGTATTTATTTTATTTTACTAATTCCCAATAGTTATACATACAGGTTTTTTCCCAATTTTCCCTATTATGAGCAAAACAGCACTGAACAGTCCTGTAACGAAATCTTGTGTACATTCATGATGATTTTTTGAGGACAAACTCCTAGAAATGGAATCACTGATAAAAAAATGTGATCATTTTTTAAAATTACAATATAGCAAAATGTTTTCTAGAAAGGTTATTCAAGTTTACACTTCCATCAACAGTATATGAAATAACCCATTCTGCTTCACACTCATTTTTCCTCATACTCTAAACACTATCAATTCAATAGATGAAAAATAGTACGTGGGTATTTCAATTGACATTTCATTGATTATCAAGGAGGTTTTTTTGTTTGTTTGTTTTTGTTTTTTACATGTGAATACTCAATGCATATGTAACCGAAGTGGCATTATTATTCTAATTATAAACGGGGCTCAAGTATTACCAAAGAAACAAAAAGCTTCAATTTAATGGAATTTGAACCAGTAGAGTAGTTACAACTAAACACACGACACCTCAAGGAAATTTCTAATTAATAACACCTACTTTACCAAGCGAGAGACTGATAGTAAAGAAGAAAATAAATGGTTACTAAGAACTGATTGACTGGGTCAGACAGTAAGAGCTCCTCTCAGACGTCTGGGAAATCAGACTGTTATTTTCAAGGAACAGAGAAGGGGGTCTAACATCACATGCCTCATTTTTATTATTTTACATGGACTTCAATTTTTTCTCATAAGCGGATTGCTTTAAGAAATAAAAATGAAACACCAGCAGAGGAAAAAAAAAACCTCAAAAGGTCATACAAATTGCCTTTAGATCAAATTCATTTCTTCTAAAGTCAGAATCTAAGCAAAAGATACTTATATCTGTGATTGTATGCACTAAATTTGTGTCCAGATGAGGTTTTTAGCTCAGTGTGATCTCTGCAAAAGAGGCACCTGACAGAGAAGAAAAATTTATAGTCTATATTTATCTCCAGGATGAAAGACTTAATTAAGCTTTCATATTTGCCCAGATTGCTATGTTCCAATTTTGGATTCAGGACCTGCAAAACAAGTCGCCTCACTGTTATTAAAAAACATGGAATAAAACAAATGCTATTTGTAGACAATGTATTCTGTTCAACAAAAAGATGGTAAATACTATGGAGTAACAGAAGTTAAGTACACACCAGACTTTCCTAAACTTTCTCTCCTCCTCACAAGGAAAAACACAAATCCTTATAGGAGAGTATTTGGTTACATGTGATTGAAGATGACAAGCAAATGTGCAAAAAGAACTCATTACATCTTTGCACAAAACTCTTATCAAAGCCAGAAGTCTCTAAAGTCTTCAAAAATTGGTTTGAGGCTATGAGAACTTGCAATTTGTATTTGAAGTGGGACTTTTAGAAGAATTAACAAATGATAAGCTCACGTCTTCCAGGGAGACTTCCCTGACCATATCCCCTTGCTCTGGTCACCATGCAGGGGGACGTGCAAGTGTGCCTGATCACTCAACTTAAAACTCGTGAATTTAACAGTCACTCACATGACTGTACCCACCACTGAGACTGTCAGCTGCTCCACGGAGTGCTGTGGGACAATTAGTTGTGCTCACCATTGGATTTCAGTAACCAGTATAGTGCCTGGCATGTAGCAAGCCCACAATCACCATCTGTTGGATTAACCGAATTTAAGAGCTACAGAAACATGCTCAATTTGAAATCCAAGCAGGCTAGCATAAATGTAGCAATGACATTCATGATAGAATTCTATGACTACCATTTTCATTCTTCACAACAAGAAAGCATATAGTTTTGCTTAATAATTAACTTTAATTAAACAAAATTAAACAAACAAATTAAACAATAATTTAATTAAACAAAGGCCCATGATTATACTTTAGCCTATACATGTCTTACCTGAACAATAACTGGATAGCCACCCACTTCATTTCCAGCCTTGGTCATCAAGACCGCCAGCACAAGGTCTGGGTTACTCACCAGGTGAAAGGTCCTTAGAAACACAGGATCAGTCACATCACAAACTAGCATGACCAGATTAGACAACTTTCTGTGCCACTTACCAATGTTTTGCCTCTTGGTTGTAAATCATCCTATGATACCTAGTCTGTGTAATGGGTATGAATCCTTTAAGCATATTTCCTCTGTAGTAAGCACAATGTTAAGCTTTCTTAGTAGAGAGTGCTGGAAGGACACTGAAGGAGGAAGGGGCTTTCCCAGTGTCACATGGTAGGTCAGCAGTTGGAAGTAAAGGTATTGAGGGATGCTCTGCCTCAGCCAGTGCCTTGCACCTTTGTAGCCCCAGCCTGGTCTGGCCCGGTGATCACCTTCTCATGGCTTTCTTGATGTGGGATATACCACCTACTCTAGACCTCCTGCCACATGAGGGCCCAATTCCCTTGCATACCCTGGCCCAGTCCCCAACTGCACTCTTGTATACTTTTCAGAGGGCTGTTTCTACTTGCCCAGTGACCAGAGGTCAGCTCTGGCCTGGGAAGCCAGCAAATTCCTGTCATCCTGTGAGCTGCAATCACACCTTTTTCACTGAAGCTTGAACTGGAGTCTCAGGAAATGGATACCAATTCTGGGCTTGTCCTTCTTTGTGTTCACTCTCTCATCTCTAGGGTACTCCTATATTTGATAATTATTTTTATTAAATTTCCCCCTTTTTAAATCACTATATGGTTTCCATTTCCTGGTTGTACCCAGACTCACATACCTTCCTCACCATTCTTGTTATTATGAGAGGCATGTGGAGAGCATGGATTCTGGAGCCCCACTGCCTGGTTTTGAATCTTGAATTCACCTCTCGTGGCTCTACTTAATGACTCTGTGCCTCAACTGTAAAACAGGATAATGGTGCACACCTCACAGGACTGTAGTGAGAATTCCATTGGTTCATGCGTATGAAATTCACAGAATACTGCCATGCACATAGCACTTAGTATCAACTAATGTTGTTAGTGGTTGTGATTTTTTTTTGTAGCTTTATCTCAAATTCTTTTTCCCAAAGGAGCTTTTCCTTATTAGTTCAAGAAGTACAGTGGTAACTGACAACTGATCTTGTATTAAAGCTGATATGACGCCCCTTGACTGAAAAACAAAATGAAAATAACGGATCTAAAACTCTCAAATTCTTTTCCTTGCATCACTTAACAAAAATAAACCAAATATTCAACACCGTTGCCAATTCTTCTGCCACCATGTTTACATTACGGAACAACAGTGGCATTCCTGCTGTGGAACCATCGCTGTCCTGGATGTTTAATGATGTGGGTGTTGGGGAAGGGAAAAGTTGGGAGGGCTCTGTTGTCCAAGCAGCACAGTAAAACCTGTGAAAGCCGGAGGCTGTGTAAGACGAAGTCTATCAGAGATGGGAAATTTAAATACTTTCCGCTAATAGAGAGCAACAGAAAAGTGGTAAGACTGCACCCTGTCAAAGGCAGAAAACTTGTGAGACCCAGAAAAAGAAGGCAGTCCTGCTGAGTTCCAGCCCTCACAGGTTTCACTGCATATTCTTCTTTTCAAAACTTAAAAAATTAAAGATATTAAATTTACATATTTTGAACAAAAAACAACATGTCGTTAGGTGCTGTTGAGTCAGCTGTGACTCACAGTGACCCTGTGGACAATAGAACGAAACACTGCCTGGTACGGAACCATCCTCACAATCCATGGACTGCGTGAGCCCATCATTGCAGCCACTGTGTCAATCTCTCTCCTTGGGGGTCTTCCCTTTTCTGCTGACCCTCTACTTTACAAGGCATGATATCCTTCACATATCAGATGATTGATTCAGTTGCAGGACAGGGGAAAAGGGGAGAAAATGGCAGACTGTCTCAAAAGCTGACCTGGACCATCCTTCTGCAGGACTGGAACCACTGAATGCATCCTGGGCACGCTTCTCCTGCCTGTTCAGTACTGTCTCTCTCATTGCTTTAGCTTCTAGCCTAGCTATGTGCTCTCCCGCAACACCTTAGCCTCACAATTATAATATCCCTTAAGAGGTTTGCCTGATAATTGCTTAAGATAACAGAATTCCTAGTTATTTTCTATTTTAAATTTAAGACCAAATTGAAAAGGTAATTGCAGATCCAAAGGACTGAATTAATTGCTAATGGTAGAAAATTCTCAACACGGTGTATTGCACTGTGTATTAAATCATGATTGACTAGTGCTCTTGCTACCCTCCTTAAATGTTGGCAGCCATCTACTCTGTCTACACTCTATTTATATAATTCTGGGTGAATAGCTGCCTCCCCAAACACCAACTTACTGCCAGGAGAAAAGAGGAAGAAAGACTAATTAATATACACTGAATTGTCTGCAGGTTTTTGCTACTGAGTGCAACCCAAGATTCTCCAGGCCTCACCTGCTTATCAGAAGACATGGGCTTCAGTATCCAGTTACATGAAAAAGCACAAAGCAGTGTCCCAAGGGAAAATGTGGACAAAAGCTCAGACTCACTGTCACTGTGCAGATACATATGTGCCACGGAACATAAATTACTCTGAATCTGTCCTGCACCTAATCATCAAGACTTGGGTCAAACTTCCCTGCCTAAGTACTGCTGGTGATTCATGTGCTTCTGTGCAAATCCTGCTCCACCGGCCACCGCTGCC